AAAGAAAAAGAAATTGAGGGAAGAGACTTTTGCCCATATACTACCATATTTGAATACTTAGAATCTGCCTGATGAATAGCAGGTTCTTAAATATTTGTTGAATAAATAAACATCCAATCTCCCTTCAAGGCAGGATCTCTATTGTTTCTGCCCTATACTCCCCACTTTGTAAATTAGTTACCATGTGTTGAATAAATCTGTAAGAATAAACTCTCATTTATTTAGAACAATAACAGAACGTAGTATTTCAATGAAATGACTATTCCAAGAGTTATCGCTAATACAATTCTACATGGAGGCTGTTAATCTTCATATAACCTATATTCAAAATCATAAAACACTTACTCTAATATAAAGCATGATCTCTGGAGCCAGACTAATTGGGTTGGATTTTCATGTCCACTACTCATTAGTTATGTGAACCTGGGTTAATATTAGTAGAATTAGCTATTATTATTAGCAGGAACAGTAGTAGATAATAAGCATATTTGCATTAGTACAATTACAGTACTCTTAAAAACAGCTCTGACCACAGTACACGTTAGTTTTTTGATGCAGAGCATTCATTCACTTCCCACACACCGACCTCCTTTCTCCTCACTTGGAAATCATCCCTTCCCTCTCTACTTTTGCTCACTTCAAAAACTAGTTTTAGCAACACAGGTGAAACAGCTAAATTCCTAGCTACATGTGGCAATGCACAGTTAAAATCTGGTTTTTATCTAAGCCAAGACAAGTCATTTGCATCCAAGTTTTAATTTTTTTTAACTTCTATAAACCTCCATTTTCAACAGGTAAACTAATGGAGATGAAACATACCATTATTTCTAACTTTGTAAAACCCTTGACTCTGTTAAATAAAATGTTATCTACATTTACTCTCTGAGATAGCTGTTGATTACCCTCACTTTATGAAAGTGAAACAGAGATCCAGAATGGGAGTTTGAATAAAGAAGTCTAAGGCTTTTCACAGAGCTGCTTTCCAACACAGCATAATTGTTCTATGATAATTCAGAAGATAGAATGGGAACAAAAGACAACTCTGGGTAAACATCTACCTCCACTTCTTCTACTGTTGCCACACAACAGCAGCTCTCAATCTGTACACCTCCTATCACACCCTCTCTCAGGATTAAGATCAATTTTTCTAACTCTAACTTATCTATTAGAAATCTCCATTACAGTGCTTCAAAGATACCTCTCACATTGTTCTCATCCAAACCCACTCCTTTTGTTCTTGATAAAATTACTGGCACCACCTAGAAATCATTCCATACTTTCCCTTCTCTCCCAGTCATATGAACAATGATGTCGGTCTCTCTTACTCAAACCCAGTTCCCTTCTCTTTGATTCCATTCCATTCAGAACCAGTGACTTTGTTCCTAAATTGTGACGAAAGCTGCCGTGCTTATAGTCACATCTTCCTCTAAAATGCATTTCCCACCCTGTCACCAGATTGATATTTTTCAATGTGAATTCTGATCATGTTTTTCCCCCCCTGCTTAAAATCATCTATCTAATGGTCCCCCACTGCATGACATATAAGGATTTCTCATATCTGAAAGCTAAAAATGTAATTGTTAATAAACATAAACTTTTAAACAAGACTATGAACTCAGAGTACAGCTCCACTGCCCACTACTGGTAGGATCATGAGCAAACTAAATTCAGTTTCATTAGCAGTAAATGAGATTAAGATGTTTAGAAAAGTGCTTAACACAGATAAGCACTCAGATAATAACTATTATCTTTTTACTCTGTTTGCCACTTTCTAGCTCCTACAATCTATCCACTCTTTTTCTCGTCCCACATATGCACAGTACTGGAGCCTCACCACTTCATTCCATCTCTCAAACAAGAACTCTTATCTTTCAGGCCTCCATATTACTATATATGATTTAGCCATCTTTTATGTGGTGAAATTGTACACAGCAGCAAAATATCTTAAAATTTGCAATTGTCAAAAGAGAAGTTCATACAGAAAGAACTCTAAGATCAAATTATGCTATTAAAAACTTCTTGATATATTTAGCAGAGCAATCATTAGCAAATACTTTTTATAAAGGATTAATACTATTGAGAACTATGGTACAAAGACCTAAAATTAAGGGCCAATATTATGTGCGCTGACATCTGGGGAAAACTGGGAGGGCCTTAAATGGCCTAACAGCAAGTTCCCCTCCTTACTCTGGTCCTACAGATAAGGTCCCAAGCCAGACAACCCTCTTTATCACAGGGAACAGGCACACTTCCTGCTTATGCCTGATTAGCAGCCTTCAGAATTATTAAAACAAGCCAGTCACATCATCCTGCGGGAACCAAAGATCAGCCTCTTGATAGTACAAAGTTTGCCTCCCACGGCCTCTCTCTGCTCCCAAATCCAACAACCCCTGCACTGCATGCTGTATTACCCTCTCCTGCACTATAAGGGCAAGCAAATAAGCTGATAATATATATATATATAGTATAAACATTAGAAGGGCACTATGTATTACCCTCTCCTGGGCTTATTAAGTTTATGTGATTAATAAACTGCTGTTCATCTCATCTATCCAGTGTCAGGTATTGTGTGTTCAGCCATCCACGGTAAGTCAGGACAAGTGGAAGTGGGAAACTGAGAGAGACAGCTGAACAAACTGACAGCAATTTACAGCAGATACAGGTCACCTGCCTAGAAATAACATCTAGGCCTCAGTTGAATTTCAGCCCCAGACCCAGAAAAGCAGCAAAACCAGGTGGGTGACACCAGGACCAGCTGCAGTAGCTGATGACTCCCTGCCTTGGCACTGACCAATCAGTGCAAACCACAGCCCTGGCTGGAGGAACACACAGAAAACTGATTGATATTATCCTAAAACCCTCCCCTGAGATTCCCACCTGCAAGGAGATAAAGCCTCAAGACAAAGGACCCAGTGCATGCTCTCCCTCTGGGGAGCAGCCCCCACCATTCCCTTTCCCCTCTTCCCCCACAGGCATACATCTCCTAAATGCTAAAGGACCCCATGAAACTTGCAACCTGGGGAGCAAGGGGCAGCAGCAGGTTGTCTCAGGCTAGTCCCTTGAAACTGACCCCAAGGCCCCCTTTTCTCTGACTTCCCAGAGAGCTAGGGCAGCCCAGCCTAGGCTCACCTATTGCTTCTTCTATGCTAGCCCCTTTCTTGTTTTACATTCCCAGCTTTAACAAATGTTCCCTCATAGCCAT